ACGGAAAGATTCGTGGCGGGCGCAGGGATGGCCTGTCTACCAATTCCTTTTCATTAAAATAGGGGTCGGCGGCACCCGGGCGGAGCCCTTACAGTAGTAGTAGTAGTAGTAGTAGTAGTAGTCGTAGTGGTAGTGGTAGTGGCAGTGGTAGTGGTAGTGGTAGTGGTAGTCGTAGTGGTAGTGGTAGTGGTAGTGGTAGTAGTAGCAGCAGCAGCAGCACCAGAAGCAGTAGCAGTAGCAAAATAGCAGCAGCAGCAGCAGGAATAGTAGTAGTGGTAGTAGTAGTAGTAGTACTAGTCGTAGTAGCAGTAGTAGTAGTAGCAGCAGTAGTAGTAGGAGGAGTAGTGGTAGTAGTAGTAGTAGTAGCATCATAGTAGTAGTAGTAGTAGTAGTAGTAGTAGAAGTGTCGTAGTAGTAGTAGTAGTAGTAGTAGTAGTCGTAGTAGTAGTCGTCGTAGTAGTGGTAGTAGTAGTAGCAGTAGCAGCAGTGTAGTAGTAGTAGTAGTAGTAGTAGAATGAAGGAGGAAGAGAGATTGGGGGAGAAGGCCTAAGCACACTTACAATCAAAAAATGCGCAAACAAACTGCGGGAAGAGAACTGGAGGAAGGGAACTGGAGGAAAGGGATTGGGTGAAGGGAACTGGGGGAAGGGGACTGTGGGAACTGGAGGAAGGGAACTGGAGGAAGGGAACTGGAGAAAGGTAACTGGAGAAGGAGGACTGGAGGAAGGGAACTGGAGGAAGGGGGTTGGATGAAGGGAACTGTGGGAAGGGAAGTGGAAGAGGTGATCCTCAAAGTTCACAAAACGATCTTGTGAACCAAAGAAATCACAAAACCGTCTTGCCATTCCCAAAAATTCACAAAACCATCTTGTGAATCATAATTCGCAAAACCATGCAAAACCACTTTGTGAATTATGAATTCACAAACCATACTGTGAGTCAAAAATGACAAAACCATCTTGTTAATCACAAAAATGACAAAACCATCTTGCGAATCACAAAACCATATTGTTAATCACAAAAATTCCAAACTCTCTTGCGAAGCACGAAATATCTCAATATCATTTTGTTAATCACAAAACTTCACAAAATAGTTTTCAGATCAGAAAAATTACCTACCATCTTGTGGATCATAAAAACTCACAAAACTACTTTGTAAATCAATACAATAGCTATTTTGTGAGCCATTGTATGAATTCACAAACAATCTTGTGAAACATCATAATTCTTAAAACCATGTTTGCACAGTAGCTATTTTTGCTCAATCAAAAATTTTACTGACTTCATTTTACCAAGTGGTGCTATGAAAAGGCCTGTTACACAGAGCAAGCCCAAAGACACTAAGAAAAAAAGGAAGAGAGGCTTGAAAAAGAGCCAAATGAAGAAGGGGCAACCCCAGGAGGTAATGAGACCCCAAAGGAGATAGAAGATGAGACAGCTCAGCAGCCTGAGATGACAAATCTGAATGCCCCGCAGTTGCTGAGCCACAATAAATTTTTGGAAGATGTTGAAAAGTGGAAAAATGGAACCATCAGTGAACCAACAGAGCCAAAAGCAAGGATTCTTCCACATGATGGAACAGAGAAGATCTGCTGCAGAAAATGAATGCTGGAAACAAATGGTTGGTCCTGGAAGCGCAAAAAAACACAAACAGCTGCTTCAATTTCTGAAGCAGGGTGGCTTGACACAGAGCCAAGTAGAACAAAAAGCCAAGTTTGCACAGGGGTGGAACTCCACCAAAGATGTGGAATGGGTGAGTTGGAAAAAAGTCTGTGAGGAATATGGAGAGGAGGAAGCAAAGCTTCGAGTTGCCAACCACCTCATCCTCACCAGGAGGTGTCCAAAGGCAAAGAAAAGGGCCTTAAGATCTGGCAGCTTTCAGAAAAAACAGATTCAATCAAGGCTTGCAACAGAGCCTAGCAGCCACAGGTGCCAAGGACACAAATAGAAAAGAACATAGGAAGTTCACCAAGACATTGCTGTCATTGGAACCAGAGGGTGCTGAAGAGCAAACCTTTAGCATGGCACTGTGGAAGAATCACAAAAAAAACAACAAAGTCGGAGTAGTACTAGTGGTACTAGTAGTGCTAGTAGTAATAGTAGTAGTATTAGTAGCAGCAGCAGTAGCAGTAGTAGGAGTAGTCGTAGGGTTGCAATTGACATGCTGCACACAGTCGACCGGGGTGTGGCTGCAAGAATTTGTGGCTCAACCCTTCACACACGGTCATACCTGGTGGGTGGCAAACAAAAGAGACCCCCCCACCACATGTTTCAAGTGTGGTCAGGCGTCTCTGAAGGTTACAAGACCTTGAACCCTGCAGAAAGGTTCTAAAACCTTACCATCAATCAGCTCAACAATGATCAGAAGCCATGGTCGCAAAAACCAAAGTCGGAGCTACTAGTAGTAGTAGTAGTAGTAGTAGCAGTAGTAGTAGTAGTGGTAGTAGTAGTAGTAGTCGTAGTATAGTAGTACTAGTACTAGTAGTAGTAGCAGCAGCAGCAGCAGTAGTAGTAGTAGTAGCAGCCGCGGTAGTAGTAGTAGTAGTAGCAGCAGAAGCAGTAGCAGTAGCGTTAGCAGTAGCAGTAGCAGAAATAGTAGTAGTAGTAGTAGAAGTAGTAGAAGTAGTAGTAGTAGTAGAAGCAGTAGTAGTAGTAGATGCAGTAAAACTAGTAGTACTCGCACTAGTAGTAGTAGTAGTAGTAGTAGTAGTACTAATACTAGTACTAGTACTAGTAAGTGGTAGTGGTAGTAGTAGAAGTAGTAGTAGTAGTAGCAGCACTAGTAGTAGTAGTAGTAGTAGTAGTAGTAGTAGCAATATGTTTTGTTAACAATACCTCCTGTTTTTTAGAAAGGCTTGAGATTGGTTTTGGGGATTGGTTTTTTAAGGCTTGGGGATAGGTTTTGGGGATTGGTTTTTCTTGGTTTTGGTGATTTGTTTTTTTAGGCTAGGGGATAGGTTTTGGGGATTTGCTTTTCTTGGTTTTGGGGATTGGTTTTTTAAGGTACACAACCTTCCGAGAACCGATCCCCACAAAAACTGATCCTTGGCTTCGTTTTTCGATCCCGGATGCTCAGGGCTGGATGCCCCGGCCAGGTCACCGCCTGCCGCGGTGCCTTGGGCGCCATCCAGTGGACAGCCGCGCAGACACAGCCCTTGGCTTACGCTAGAACCAACCTTTTTTTGACTTATAGCGGTGGAGCTGCGAATGAGTGTTGCACGAGGTCATCCGAGAACTTCGCAAGAGCAGCACCGCTCTCAAGTTTTTCAAGCTTCCAGGTGTTTGCCGATGGACCGATGTCACCATCGTCGGTCTTGGAGACCAAGCTCACAGCAACCGTCCTCGCGGTGGTTCGACAGGAGGACTTCTGGCTTTCATGAATGAACCCCAGATTCGTGAAGGACACCCTTGTTCCATGGTCTTGGTCGCTTGGAAGTCGTGGAAGTTGAAACGTGTGGCTCTTGGCACCAATGATGCCGAAGTTCAGAGTTTGGTGGAGGCAGAAGACGTGCAGTACAAGACCCGTCTCTTGCGAGCCCAGATGAATGGCTTCAAAGTGGAGGAGAGTAGAAACCTTGTTGGCGTCTCGGACCTGATGGTCTCTGCAGTGCCCGGACTGCTCGGCAAAGACTCGAAAGGCGATCATCCTCAACGAGTCGCCTCTCCTCGGGTTTTCAAACACCCGCACTGCGCTTCAGGCGTATCAATTGAAAGAAGCCCTACCTCTCTGAGCGCGTAAGGAATGTCAAGAGTCTCTTGAGTTTTCTTCCGGAAGCACATTTGGCAGGTGCGCATCGACCCGCAGCTCACCCAGAGCTCTCGCAGAGAGAAGCGGACACCCTTCCGTACAGCTCCAGTCGAAGACCGATGTGAAGTCAGAATTTCGTGGGTTGATGCAATTGATTGTGACCAATCCAGTCTTGTGCAGGTTGAGTTCAATGAGTTCACCTCGGATCATCTCGTCTGCAAACATTAGGGCGCCCTTGTGCCATGCGAAGCACGGCAACTCCGTGGATCTAGCCTAAAGAAGGCTTTTCGTTCGAGCGCGGCAAAGGTTGCATCATTGAGGCGGCATTGCTTCTTTTTCTTTGCATTGAGTTGCTTGGCGGTTGTAGTGCATTGAGTCTTGGCGTGAGTTGGTCGTGCATTGAGAGTTGAGTCCCATTCCATCCTGAAACTACATCATTTGAAAACCTGCACATCATTGAGGTTCCAAATAGCAAAGCTTGCGTTTGGCGCCATGCTGCTTGAGGCGGGGCTTGAGACTGCATTTGTCTCATCGCCTGGGCAGACTTGGAAGAACCCTGAGTTGCGAGGTTGTTTGGTGATTCATAGAAACTGCTGAGAAAGCCCATGAACTCCGGCGAGATGACAGGAGATTGTTGAGTCTGGCGAGCTTCCCTGATGAGGTGCATAGCTGCCACAAATTCCGGGAAGCTCATGTGTGAGCTTTGACTAGCATTCGCCTGGTTGAAGATGCTGCCAAGAACTTCGGGTGGCAAAGCGGATTTGTTGAAAATCGCTTGGGCATCTGCATGGCTGATGAATCCATCTGAGTCCACATCCGTCCTCAAGAATAGGCGCGCATATTTCCGGAGATCCCGGCCATTCGGCACAGGCCGCCAAGCCGATGGATTTGCCATCGTGAGAATCAAATGGGATAAAGAAAGAAACTGCCGTAAATTGAAGTTTGTATGTCCTACATTGAATTACGAGGAATTTCCAATTACTATGACTGGTCCTTCTGTCGCTGCTCTGAATCTTGCAAACCGTGCTGAAGCAAAAGCCTGCAAGTGGTAACAACCCCTACATCAAAGCAAACCCTTCTTTGCCGCCATGCCCAAAAGTTTAGACTTCTCAATTAGCAACTCCCCTTCCACGGAGGAGATTGCCAGTGGGTCAGAAGAACATGTACCAGGTACCAACATGATGATGTATTCCTACACTTGGCTTGGTACTGCATGCTGCATGACGATCTTTGAAGCGGATTGACTCTGCACCTCATTTTGCTGCTGCTCGAGCTTGGCCTGCACCTCGAAACCAAAGATATGTCTTTTCTCAAGTCCATCCAGTGCATGAAAGTGTCCAGACCTCTCGCACCTGCAGCAAAGCATCATCACGCTCCTTGCACAAACTTGAGGTAGCCCGCCGGTACGAGCCTAGGAAGCCCATAGTCAGCGGCTGCATGCGGTGTCCTTGCTTAGCCGCTGCTGTCTCCCATCAAAGTCCTTGGAAGTGCGAAACAATCCTGACAATACACTTCCACACCTTCTGAGATGTCCGACGGTGAGATCAAAAGGAACAAGTGCCCACTAGTGCAAAATGCTGGGCTCTGCTGTCCGTGCGGGATTTGAGATCATGACGGACAAGGTCGCCTTTGCCTCTGAGAATGCCAAGAAAAACTGTCTTCAACTCAGTCTTGATTGCCAAATTAAAAGCGCCAACATCAAGGGGCATTGTTCTAGAAGTGCAAGAATTAAGTGCATCAGAATTAGAAGGTCCTCATCCAACTGCCGCTTGAGAGATGCCTGCTCCTCGCGAGGTCCAACAGCAACTCACCCAAAGTTCAATATGTTGAATGTATCTTTTGGTGATTTGGGGCTACCAGCTAGCAGTGTCTAGCATCTTGTGGCCTACAATCCAAGATACACCAAACTCTTCTTCACCCTGCTTCTGGTGAAGTCCGGACCTGCTTAGCTTGTTCCAGCTGTCGCTGAGACACCTTCCGCTCTAAGTTAAGTTGTTCTCAGCACAAAAATCAGAGTGAGGCCAAAAGACAACAATAAAGATCTTGCCTCACCCTCCCTTTCAAGCTTTTGCTGCAAAGATTCCATGTCCTCAAAGGATCAATTTCAATGTGACGCGCCTGCAAAAAATAACGTGCAACAATGAAAAATTCCTGGGCTCAAATCAATTGTGTCAATGGCAATGGCGCAATAAGATTCACGCTGCGGTGCGGGAGTGCATGTCTGTGGCCTGTGATCTCATTTGCGCCTCGAGACCTCAGAACTTTTGGTCTTTGAATTGTTTGCAAAATTCTGTAAAGGGCGTTGCTGACTAAGATTCTAAGATTGTAGCGTGTTCTCTCTTGGACCCATCTCTCCTCGCAAAATGGACATCTCAGGGAAGAGATACTTAAACACAAAGACTGGGGCCGAAATGCAAAATGCACCCAAAATAGTTTGGTGCGAAATGCAAGTGTGCTGGTAATGAGAGCCACAGCAGCCCTTCAGGGCATGTTTTGGGTAGTCTGACATTTGGAGGTGCAATTGCTGCCTACCCACAACACCTACGCACAAGAAGCTACCTGACCGTCCCAAGCTCGGGCCTCGTCTGCCTGCAGGCGAGCAAGTTGGGTGCGCCTCGGCAAACAGGCAATTGGTGTCACATTCCAACAAAGCGATTAGACGAATCAACCGCAACATCCAACGAAGCCAATGTCGATCCCACGACTTGTAAACAATCGTGAAAACAACCAAGATTGAACATGATCTAAAAATGAAGAGGTTCCAAATAGTGGTAGATCACAGGGTGGACTCCTACACCAATGTGAAGTGCAAATTGCAGGATGAATTGCATATGGCATTAGAAAGGCTAAAACTTCAATCCAGAATCAGCGGCAGCGAAAGGGAACTATTCGATAATTTGGGAATGGGTCAGCGAGACGAATGAGTGGTGTCTGTCCCCTCTTGAGATCTACATTGGAGGTGGTTTTTTGAATTTGTATCGATATCGAAGGTGTCTCACTGAATTTACAGTAGATGAATTTAGGCATTGGACAACGGGTTGAAAATTCCCAAGGTCAAGCGGATAGTCATTGTAGGGGTGTGGTATATAGGGTACAGTATATATAGTCTAGTCATCGCAGCATACCTGATCCCAAATTGTGCTCCATACTCCCAAGGCCACAACAAATGCTCAGAGGAAGAACCTGGGAAATCTGTCTAACAGATTTCTTGTTTGTCGAGAAGTTTTCTCATTTACAGACTCCAGTCTCTTTGCAATCAGCAAGAGGGCCAGTGAAAACAAACTGTCAGAAGGCAAGAACATACTCGACAACTGAAGGCTGCTTCTTACGTCCGTACCTTTTGCATCCAGCTGCAGTTCGAGCTCATGAATTTGGGCCTGATTGCATAAGCAAACAGAAAGCTTCTGCAATGGACGTTTCTCAGCCAAGCATTGTCAAAATCACCACATGGTGCAAGGCCCCACACAGGCCTCCAATTTGAGCTTTTCATTGCGTAGCTGGAGGCACGACTCCTCCACTGTCTTTGACCTGCAAAGGTTCCGTCTTCTGAAGCAACGAAGCCATACACATTCTATGAAGAATTTATGTCCTTGGAATGTATCTGTATTTTTTCTTCCAGGCATCTCTACTTCAGAACACTTGCCAGAAATCTCTACTTTTCTGAAATGATTGATGCAGCCCTCTACTCTTCCACACCTGCACGTCGAAGCCCTACTTGTCTGTCCACTCTCTCTGGAAGCCTCTACTCTACTTTCCTATACTGTTATCAAGAAAGACAAGGCTTCATATATACAAAACAACCCGAGTCGAGTCCTATCGACACCCACGGGCACGCGTGGCATTTTCCTCAGCCAAATGCGGTCCCTGCGGTACGAACGGCATGCGAGTGGAGGCATTCATGCTAGCCTTCAACACTCCTTATACTTTCTACTTTCAAAGATCTCTGAAGTGTTGGGCTTACTTTCAGCATTGTCGAATCGCATGCGTATGCGAGGATCTCAAGCTTCACTTGAAGACTCTGCGAGAACCGGAGCCAGGAATCAACTCTCCAGTGCGCAGCTTGCCATGGGATGCTTCCAACTCAAAGCGAAAGAGAAAAAGGCACAAATCCTTAAGCTCACCGCTCGCTGAATTGGTGCGAGCTCGGCGCCACTTTACATAGCTCTTGGCCTCTTCTTCATCGGATTGCAGCAGGTCCATGTAAGACCAGTTGCGGGACTTGAACTTGCCGAAATTGACTCGAGTCTTTCCCCATTGCGCGGTGTTGATCACACCAGGAGGAAGCTCAGGTGAACCTATCGCTGTCAAGGCGGGATCCATGGTAGGAAAGGGAGGCGCAAGCGGCTTCACAGCATATCCTCCTTCAGGAATCTTGGAATCCACTCCTTCAGATAAGGAAGCTTGCTTTCGATTGGCCTTGCTGCTGATCGGGAACTGTGCATCCATCTGACGCTTCGTAGCGTCGGACATGGCCCCGACCACTTCAAAGTCATCCACGTGTGGGAATCCACCAAGAGCCTCAACAGGCTCAAGACCATGGCGCAAGGCCTTCTGGTACAAGGCTCGGAGTTGCTCGGCGTCCTGAGGTGTCCAAGTCATTTGAACACGCACAGAGTTCCCATGTGACGATCCTCGAAAACAAAAGGGGCTGCAGGCGGCTCAAGCATTAACATTCTACATCATGCACAAAAGTTCTTGCAACACCCTCTCACGAACAGAAACTATTGAATGTATTCCTCACTGATTGCCAGTTGAACATTACAACAAGACTGTTACTCCCTTGAGAGATTGCAGCTACTTTAATTATCATTGGTGTCCAAAGGCTCCTGAGGATGCGTTTTCACCTTGGTGGAAAGGCTGCGTCTCTGCATCCGAAGCTCTCTTTCGGCAGCTTGCTGAGCCAGGACATGCTCTTCGGGTGATATTTGATATGTGGCACTGCGTAAACAAGATCTAAGAAGATCAACTGGGTCCATCTTGTCTTTTGTGAGGGCATCTGCCAACGTTCGATTGGTAGGAAGCCAACGAATTGATGCTTTGGTTGCCTTGATGGATTCTCTAATGATCACAATGTCGATACTTGTTCGTCGGTCATCCACTGCTGTGGGGGACGAGGGAGATGTCAAGTGATCATACAATGACTTACAATCAGTGGTGAGTATTGGCGGTCTTGCGCATAGTCTTTGGCAACTAAGTCGTGGCTCAAACTTGCCATCTAATGCTTCGCTCAAAATCAGACTAGCCCATTCAACAGTGCCGGAAGCGGTTGCCAAGGCCTGACTTTCTCCGGCCAGGGTTGATGATACCGCGCGAGGCAGCTTGTAGCTTTTCCAAGTCAAGGGTGTCCAGGGACTAATCTCTCCCACATCTAAGCTTTAGTCAACAAAGGCTACGATGTAGCCAGCTTGAGTGTGAGTTCCAACATTTGCAAAAGCGGCGTCCGAGTGACAACACAAACGAAGTCGATCTGGTTGAATGGCTCTGAACTGTATTCTGACATCCTTGTGTTGTTTAGTGCGACGAACCGCGTTATTCACATCCCTGAGATGTTTGATCTTAGGGTTTGGAAACACCTGCTGACTCAAGCTGGTCTGTACAGCGACATCTGGTCGAGACTGGCTGGAGATCCAATTGAGGCTCCCATTTATGGCCCTTAGGACACGGATCTGAGAATCCAGGAGTGGTTGTTCATTATCGGCTCCCTTAGCAATGTGTGCTGGGCGAATGCTCTCGGCAAAAGTCTGTTGGGACATAGAGATTTCCTTGGTTTTGGGGTCTTGAGTGTAAAAGGCTCCATAAAACTCTCCCGATTGGATTCGCCACTTTCGATAGGGAAACCGTGTTCGAAGGTCTTTGACTGTGGTTTCAAACCTAGATCCTTGGCCGCCTAGGGCTGTATCGCCCACGTGAACTCCCATGACACCACAAAGACGACCTTCATCATCCCTAAGAAAATACAGGCAGGCATCAAACAACGATCGTTCACAACCGAACTCACATGCGGCTGCGTCGAATGCTTTGTGCCATGCAGCTGGAGCGTCATTCTGTCCGTACACGTTTCCAACCACTTCCAGGACTGCGTCTTCGGGAACTGATGGTATTCCCCCGGCTGGGAGATGTGCAAAGAGAGGACGAAAGCGTTCTGGCAGTGGGCCTGCCTCTAGGAACGCTCCCTTTATATCCCCCAACTGCAGATCCCACTGATGGGAGGTGACCAATTGCATGAGGATCATCCTGCCTATTTGACTTAACGTTGGACTCTGAAGCAATCCTTCCCCCAGTTTTTGGTCGAGATCGGGGTCCAAATGACCTTGTAGGCACCACCGGCTTTTTACTCGAAACGTATCTGGGTCATGAACATCTAAGTGCAAGTTTTCTTCCAGGGGTTTGCGAACAATCACAAAGCGACTACCCATGAACCTGTCGGGGTATTGCTTTTTCAACCACGCCGCATGTTTTCCGGTATGCACTTTGATAGCGTTCTTTTCAGTCAAGGTGGTCCACTCTACAAGTTTGGAGGCGTCAACCAACTCTTGGAGTCACTGGCAGGGATTTCCTTAGATGCTCTTTTTTGAAGGTATGCAGCAACAAGCACTTCAACGTTTTGAGTCCTATCCCACAGGGCACCCAGCTGTTGACAATCCTGTACAGACAAGGCTTCGTCACACGCATGAGACTCCACAAGAAAGTGCTCTTCCACTCGGGGTCTAGCTGTTGGTGGCTCTTGAACTTCTTCAGTGGTTGGCTCAATTGAGCGCTTGATGCCACTGGCACTACTTGTTCCAGAAGGAGCTTGCTCTGTTTGAGAAGATGTGGTGGATGGTATGTTCTGTTCTATGAGTTGAGGTACAATCTCACGCATGATCTCCACAAACCTCCTGCCTCATCGGATGAGGACGGTACAGAGTGGACGGTTCACTCTTGGTGGACAGTCGGTGACGAGCTCTCACAGGTCCATAGGCATTATCTGGAGTTACCCATGATTTGTCAGGCCTATCATTTGGCTCATTCGAGGTCTCTGGAGACTGGTGCTGTTCTGGCATGGACACATCCTGTGAAGGCTCATCGATAGCTGAAGGCTTTGCCTCTGGCTCTGGCACTGGCTGTGGTTCGGGTGCAATCTGGGGAATGTCGGCTGGAGACAATTCATGTCCTATTGCAGCATCTTCGAGTTGATGACCTCCCACCGGCTGATTGGGAGTGGCAGTTTCTTCGGAAGTGGCAAGTCTCAGTTGTTCGGGTGCAACACGAAAAATTTGTCGTCGGTGAGCCACAACATAATTTCGACCGATAGCCCCAATAACCACTGCTACTCCAAACCAGCGACCTCCAGTGACTACACCTTCACCAGCTTGAAACTTCTGATTTCGCCAGTAGGCCACCAGACAGCCTGGAGCGAACTTGAGGTCAGTTCTGGGACGGGCAGCTAGTGCACGACGTAAAGACTGGCTGTCTTGCATTTCAATCACGGCTTGACGGGCCGTGGTCCGAATTGCTTGCGCTTTGGCTGCTTGTTCGTCCGACAAGCCAGCGGTAGCAGGCACGACACTCAGTGGCTCATCCAGGAGATCAGACGGCACTCGAGGATTTCTACCGAAGACATGTTGGTGTGGTGTGTGTCCATAATATTGGATCATGCTGTTCTTCACATGTGAGTGAATGACACATTCCTCCCATTGCTTCTTATCTTCAGGACAATGCTCACTGATTACCTTAGTAAGGATTCGAGCAAACCATCCCCCATGGTTTTCGGTCCTACCCAACTGCCAATGTGCTTCACCAGGAATTTGCTTCACCTCAGTACCTTGCAAGTCTAGATAACCTTGGAGGGCTTCACCCATATTGGTGCGTGCTTGATCGACTAGAATCACCTGAGGCGGTCCAAAGATTCGAATCCAGTTTTCGGCAAACAGCTTACGGATCAGGGCTGATGTTTCAGTTTCATGAAACGGCAGCATCAGTTGATAGCAGCTTCCATGGCATACTATGTTTAACGCCTTGATCTTCTGGTTGCTTTTCCATCCTGGCAAGAATTTAACATCCAGGCCAATTGTGTGATTGAATTCACACACACGACTGCTCTTGGCTGGCAGAGGAACATGAGGTCGGATATGTGTCTTACATAGGTCACATTCATATTTGCGGGCCAAAGAAATTGCTCGATCACTAGCATGCGCATGTTTGAGAACACGGACCAGATCATGACCTGGCGGGTGTCCTAAGTTTCGATGCAACCGATCCAGCACTTGCAAGAGCTGTTCATCTGTGGCCTGCGGATGATCTAGGTCAGACTTGGCCATAAGCACTTCTTCGGACATCGGTTCTGGTTCACAGGTGACTAAGTTGATCGCTGCTTCCTGCACATACTTAGGAACAGTGTTCAAGACGGTTTGAACGAATTGTGGGGTATATTGACCTGCAAAGGTGCTCACAGAACCTATTCCAGGGGCTGACCCAGCAATGGGTTGATGACATTGATGACGAGCATGATCATTTCCTGGACAGGTCTTAGCTAGGCATGACATGGA